TGCAAGTTGAGAAAATGTTTGGTTCACAGCAGGTTTCAACTTAAACTTGAACAATCTGTATATATCTACCAAAAATTCAATTTTGGCCCAGAACTGGGTCACACGGTGTCATTGCTGGGGGGAGGGGTAATTCATCCCCTCTGCCCCACCCCCACCCCCAATCTGTCGTTCCCAAGGCCTACATTCTACTTTCCCTAACATGACTCAACTTTGCCACAAACTTATTTGCCATTCTCAAAGGAAAACCTTTTTATTTTTTATCAAACAGTCCTGGCTTCTGAACTGTCGGTCCCTCTGACAGGATCATAAGTTAGCAAAACTTCCTGAACATCCAGACAGGAAGGGATTGGATAGAGTGCTTGCTATTCAGCCAGTGTACTACATCTTGTATTCTCCGCTTTGGTATGGGAGGGTAAAGACCCGGTTCACGGTTTACAGTGGTCCTTAACACACACCCCATAAAGGACCGAAGGCTGAGTTACCAGTTCAGGGTGGGGAGAAAACTCTCCAGACAGTCAAGAAAACTCATTCTCACTGCATTCAGATGCAATCCTTTCTAACATAAAATGAACCTTTCCCTTCTTTAAAGGAAGTCTCTGAGAAGTTAATGAGATGTGTCCAGGTATAGCAGGGAGCACTGTTGTATGGAGCACACAGCAGGTCTTTGGCCTGTCAGCTACTCTTTCTTTCAGTGTGTGTTCTCAAGGGTTAAATTCTCATGGAGGTCCCAGGGCATTCAAAAGTCAAGTTACCCCATTGCATCAGTAACAATCAAAGAGGGTGGATGGCTGAGAAGCAGTGGATTCACACAGTGCCCACAGCGGTAACGATCTGGCCTTTCACGCTGTAATCTCTGCTAAAAAGAACACTACCAGTCCCTGGGTGGGCCGTGGTCCTGATCTGACTGGGTTTTTGTTTCTTTTTTTCTTTTTTTTTTCTTGCAGCTTTCCATTTTCCCAATAGCAAAATTACTCATCCGTTTGGCAGAGACTCACAAGTCACATCCGACGTGCCAGGCCATTTAGAAAATAGCCACATCGAGAAAATTAAGGATGGAACTTCTAGTACGAAGCCAAGCTGCAGGTCAGTTATAGCTCGGACATAGGTTCTCATCCAACATTTAAAAGGAGTTTTTTGTTTGTTTTCAGGCCACCCAGGTGATGCAAAGGGGATTTGGCACTACTGGGGATCCAACCAGGAGTCACTTCACAACACAAAGCACATATTCCAGCCCACACTGAACTATCTCCCCAGACCTTAACATGTTTGGTGTTTTTTTTTAAGCTAGGATTTAAAAATGAGAGAACTCCTCACCCAAATCCCTATATCCAGCTTCCAGTCAGCGGGGGAACAAGAAGTCAGTATTTCCACACATTGCTGCCTGGGAACTGAGGGAAAACAAGGACGACAGATGGAATAGGGGTCCCCTGCCATGCCACACGATGCCCTCCTCACCGAGATCAGAAAGGAAAGAAAGGCACATGCTTGGGGTTCAGGAATGAGGAAGGATTTCAAGAAGACAGCAGCAGGGACAGGGGTGTGACACATCTGGACATGCTCCTCCGGAGAAGCTCCCTCTGTTCCTGGACAGGGCACAGGCCAAGAAGCTGGTCCTGCTCTCAACCCTCTGGCCACACAGGAGGGTTATTTATAAATCTATCATAATCATTCCTTTCGCATCCAACCAGCATCCCTAAGACAAGTACAGTCAGCCCCTGAAATCTGATGTGGGGGTGGGGCAGAAAGCAGGGAAGGGACTAGCCATCTCTCCTTGTTAAGGTTGGAGCCACACCAGAGACTCAAAGCTCAAGTTAATCCAAGTCAAATTAAACTGTGCCCCACAATACAGACTGGCCTAAGCCCCTTTGTTGGCATCAGAGGAGCTTGATCACAAATTCTAAGGAACAGCTCAGAAGCGCTAATGAGTCCAGTCCCATCACTGTGGGCTGCGCAGACAGTGGGCCCAGACGCAAAGGGCTGGCCTAGGAGAGCTCCGAACATGAACCTAACCATCTGGCTCTCTTCAACTCACTTTGATCACAAAATGAATTGCAACAAATTGAAGAGCACATGGCTCCAGTTAATTGTCTCATCTGTAATCTGAACCCACTTTTAAGCAGTTATTATTACCCTCGATCAGGTGGAAACATTTCCCACCATCACTGCAAAGTGCATTTTCCTGATGAACTGTAATGGATCATTAAGTTCCATATCTGAATAACAATACTTTGCACTTATTCAGTGCCTTTCATCCAGGGATTTCAAGGCAGTTTGCAAATAATTAAGCCCCTCACACAGCAGCCAAAGAGGGGAGCAACTACTAGCCTGAGGACAGAGTAAAGGCATAACTCAACACGGAGAGAAAAAAATGCTTCCTCCCATGCACTATAATATGGAAAGTGAACTGGGGGGAGGTGCTCAATCCTCTCCTTTTCTGCCTCATCTTTCTTCTCCGAGGCAGATCTTCACATGCACCATACAGAGAGAGAGAGAGAGAGAGAGAGAGAGAGAGGTAACAAACAGGGAAGGGTGTTGTTAAAACAGCTATGAGTTCAAGCACACATATCAGAGGTGGCTGTTTTTCCATATCATCTTGGCATCCACAACATGAAAACGACATTTCCATCCACCTGCAGAATGGACAGATACTCAAAAGAATCAACTCAGGGCCCTGCTGATTATAATGGCAAACCTGTCACATTCCAAAGCCAAAATGAAAATCCTTCATCTGCACAAATAAAGGAGGAGGCTCATAGGAGGACAACAAAAATAAAAAATTTTGTCACAACTGCCTATGGTACTTCTGGGGCTCCCTGTCCAAATGTGATTCAATTTTCAGCAAATAGGACGGAAGTGGGCAATCTATGCAGGCTTTTTTTTTTAAATAAACACAACACTAGAAGGGAAAAACACTTCCGCCACTTAAAGTTTTGTGGTGATATTATAAACTCCTGAAAAGCTGAATTCATAATGGAAACGTTGACAGACCTTTCACTGGAACAGTCTGAATGCAACACTGTAATTTACCAATCTCTCTTACAGAGGCAAGACTAATTCTAGCAAGATGTCATTTCGACTCATTTAGTGTTACCTGCGCGAATGATTTTTTTTTTTCAAATGCCATTTACTCTGCAGCTGAGAGTCTGGGGGTGGGGCAATGTCCCATTTTCAGCAGGTTGTCTCCACTGCCTCCCTGAAAATCGCCCTCTCCACCTCTCCACGCTCGGCTGGTGTCGTGTCAGCTAGAACCTTCGCGACTCCACATGTCTTTCCTACAGGTTACATTTTAATGATCTGAGAAAACCGTTATCAGAGTTCACATCTCTCATTTTACTCTAAACAGACAAAAGCAAAATATCTCATTAGGCATCATCTCCGCCAAGGTTCCCACTAGGCAGGAAAGGATTTTTATCTAAAGTAATTACCCTTTTTAGTTAAACACACTCAACAGATGCAATTGATGCAGAGCGAGCACAGCAGCACGAGCCTGGCTAAGGTGGAAACCCAGGAAAGCCGCGTCTGAGGCCGTGGCTTGCTGGGGGCGCCCGCGACCCTCTGTGGTTTCCCAGGGACTTCGGCGACCGCACGCACCCGGGGTCGGATGAACCGCACCTTCTGCTGCGCCAATACCCGCTCCACGCACCCCAAGCCGCTCCCCCCCAAAAAAAAATATAAATAAACCCTCTGGCCGGCAGCGGCTGCTCGCGAACTTCCCCTTAAGTTGTCAAAACTCGCCCACACGGCCACGGGACACCGGCGATACCAGCGCGCGCGCCCATGGCCCGCGCAAACCAGGATTGCGCTGCCCCTGTCGCGCCGCACCCTGGGTGTCCCGTTGGCTAATCCCCGGCCGGCCGGAGAGAGGTGGCGGAGACGCTCGCTCGAGTCCCCTCTCGCGGGCAGCTGGGGTAGTCCAGGAGCGCCACTCGCCGCCTGCCCGCGCTCCAGCAAAATACCCCCGACCCGGGCTGTAGGGAGAGGACGGGACGCCCGGCGGGCACCGCGAGATGGACAGGGATCTCCTGCATCATTTTCTCTCCTAGGCGCAGCGCCTGGGGTTTTAGAATGTGAGAAGAGAGGTGTGTGTGTGTGTGTGTGTGTGTGTGTGTGTGTGTGTGTGTGTGTGTTGCGCTCTGATTTCTTGCAGGCTCCTAGGGACGCAAGGGAAGGGGAAGAGAAGGCAAGCTTTCCACTCTCCAGAGACATCAGTCCCTGGGTCTGAGCTCCCGGGGACCCAATGCCAGCAACCCGATCCTCGGGTGCACAAGGGCTTCCACCGGGCGTGCGCCGCCGGCGGCTCCAGTCAGCCGCTTTCCCCGGGACCCTCAACTTGAGCTTTGATGCCCCGCCAGGCGCGCGAGGTCCGGGCCACCCGGGCGGCATCTGACAGCTGAGTGCCGCCGCGGGCCGCGGTCCTCGCCGAACCGTGCGTCTGTCTCCTCCAGCCGGTGGGCGTCGCGCGGCGAGGCCGGCAAGGAGGCGGCCGGCCGGGGGATCGCGGGCTGCCCCGCGGGTTCGGGGCGCCGGGCCGTGGGTCTGACAGCTGCTGCTCCGGGCCGGCGCCGCCGCGCGCCTCCCTCCAGCCCGCCCTCCCCACGCCTGACTTATTACCCTCTGCTCCTCCTCCCCCTGCCGTTCCAAAACACGCGTCGACGCGAGCGCGATACAATGCCGCCTCGCCCGCCGTAAACAGCCCGGCGCGAGAGCGCACAGTCGCCGCCGCGCTCGCCTCCCACCCCCTTCCCGTTCCTAGAAAATGCCACCGAAGCGGACCTGGCGGCCCGGCGGCCGGTGCGCCCTCCCCGCGCCGCTGCCCCGCGCCTGAGCTCCCGGGGACCCAATTCCAACCACCCGACCCTCGGGCTTCCACCCAGCCCCAGCGCGGACGCTCCCTCCTCGGCCCCGTGCGCCCCCCACCACGCACCCCTCCTCCCCCACCCCCCAAGCAAACTTGCACCCGCCCACCCCGCCCGTTCACCCGCCAGGGCCCGGGGACTCACCTCGCCCGGGAACTTTGCGTCCTTTTTTTTCCTCCTCCTCCTCCTCCTCCACCTCCTCCTCCTCCTCCTCCTCCTCCTCTTGCCCGCGTCTCCCCAGCCCGCAGCCCCCCTCCCGGCGGCCGGCGCGGTGGGCGGTTCGGGGGTCACCGAAAGCTCGCCGAGAGGACGCGCATCACATGGCAGCTCGATCGCAGGCCCCCCCCGAGAGCGCTGGCGCAGGGGGGAGGGGAGGGGTCGCGGGGAGGCCGGCGCGAGCGAGGCGGGAGCCCGGGCGGGGTGGCGCGGGCGGCGGCGGCGGCGGCGGCGGTGGCAGCGGGCGCTCACGTTCGCGCGGCGGCGGCGACCGCAGCCCGGGGCGTGCACGGTGGCGGCGGCGGCGGCGGCGGCGGCTCGGCGCTGCTGTTTGCTCCGCGCCGCGCGGCTCGCGCTCTCCCCGGAACGCCCACACTCTCAATCGCTACATTGTTGACATTCGGCGCTGACGTCACCCGCTCCCCATTCACAATAACTTTACGGGAGCCGGGCAGCGCACCTCCCCGGCCGCTGGGGCGCCGTACGCCCGGCGACTAGCGTAAGGCGCTCCGCGAATGGCGCTCCGGGGGCTGCGGCGGGGGAGGGCGCGCGCGCTCCGCCGGCTCGCGGGAGGGGGCGCGCCTCTCGCCGCCGCCGCCGCCGCCGCCGCAGCTCTCGGCCCCGCTTTGTGCGCCGCGCGGCCCGCGCGGCCCCCCGCCCCCCGCGCCCCTCCGTCCACCGCCACCGCCACGCCACCTCCCACCCGCTCTGTCTCTCCCGGTCCCGCCGACCGCCGCCGTCCGGCCTCGCCGGAGCACTTTGCAAGAGGCCCTGGAAGACAAGGGACGAGCCTCCGGGGACGGCGGAGAGCGCTGGTGGGGTGGCACGTGCGCCGGGGTCCGGCACCCGGCAAGCAGAGCCCCGAACGTCGAAAAGCTGGGATCCCTAGCGGTCTAACGTAGCTCGGGAGGGGAGGAAAAGATGCTCGACGTCACCCTCCCCGCCCCCCCCCCCCCCCAAAGAGCTGGACCCGGTCGAAGAAGGCGAGGAAGAAGAGGGACTCCCGCGCCAAGAGCGCTTTAGACGTTTGGCTCCTCGGGGGCGTTTTTGGTTCGGGGAGGGCCGTGGCCTGCATGCGAGAAACCCAGAAGGGACCAGCGCTTTTGCGAAGCGCTGTGGTCCCGGTTTCGGTCCAACCTCCGGCTCCCTCTTAGCTTCCCGCCCCGAGCGCTGCCAGAGAGATACCGCTGAGCGCTAAGGGCCGCGAGAAGTCTGCCTGGTGCTGTAAAGAAAGTCATTCGACGGAGACGGACGGAAAGATTGCCATCAGAGCAGCAACCCCAGTGCCCGCAATTGACCTCGGCCTCGGCCTGGATGTTCTGCCGCGTTTCCCCAAACACCCCTAACTTGGCCGCTGGTGTACAGGCAGCATTGCACATGACTGCATGCAGTGCTGACTTTTAATGAATATTATAAAACTTTGGCTCGCTCCGCTGAGAGAAGGACCATAAATTTCCTTCCCAGGAAAATGGACACTGGCATATGCTGAGAAAGCAGTGAAACGTTGCCCGTTGAATCTCGTGATAGCAGCCGAGGTGCTTGCTCTGAAGCACCTTCACCGGAGGACAGAGTGTCCACAGCCTCCTTTAGAGTGTCCGGGCGCTGGCCAGGAAACCCGGGGCAACCCAGCTCTCTTTCCAATAGCACTGCACAGCCCCTTTGCAGGTGCAGAACCATGCGGGTTCTTTCTGCCTTCCCCGCCTTCAGATGAGATGTCTCTCATAGCCAGGAGCAGTCCTGCTCTTCGACTTTGGGTCTGGTGCTTCCTCTGACTGTAATGCCTTGCTTCGAGGATCCTGTTCCTCCCCTAGGACAGATTTACTGACCCCTGGTCTGTTCTGCTGGGTCCATTTCTTAGTACTGATGTTCTTGCATTTCGCGATGTTCTCATAAATGCATTAATGCCAATGATTTAATTTGCTTTCATCTTATATATGAAATGAAAGCAATATATATGCATGTATATGTATATATGGGGGGGGGTGACTGGCTGTGCTAAGGTTTACTACTCCAGGAGGACCTTATGTGATAACGGGCATCACACTGGATTGGCCACATGCGAAGCAAACACTTTGCCCACTGAATTATATCTGCACACCACCCCCCCTCCACCCAACACTTTATGTTTTTTAAATAATACCAGTAGTTTTTCTCACTAGAGCCAGGCTGGAGAAAAGATCCTTTGGAGGGTCTTGTGAATTCTTCCTTTTCAGGCAAGCAGTGACCACTGACTGAAGGGGCAGTGGAGTGGTACACACACCAGTGAGTGTGGAGGGGTGAAGTGGGCAAGGGCTGCTATTGCTGCTGCCTGCTGATGCAGCCACCTGGTTTCTTGTCCCAGGTGGAGACAGCTGGAACAATCAGATCATTTCCATTCGGCTACTCATCCAAGACCACCAGGGGAACATCTTCAGTTTTGATATTCTTGAGTACGTAAGGGGACCAGCAATCAGAGATGAACAAAACCTAGTGCAACTGTGATAAATCAGATTAGGTAGTCATTGGAGGAGGAGGTAGACCTACTTGACCTCTTGGGTCATGCCTAACATTACAAAAATGTGTCCCTAGAGCTATGAATAAGAGAAATTCAGAGCCTTTGACACACCCAGGGGACCAGTAGGGAAATAGTTGTTTTATTTTCAATAGCTTGGAGTGGGTTGTTTGAATTAAAGCCTGTAGAACTTTCAGATGTACAAAATACGTACTGCTGAGGTTAGTATGTGATGCCTGAATACTGACAGGTTGACTGTTTATTAACCGTCCCCCGGGTGTGTGCTGTTCTGGGCATTTCAGCCACTTCTCATTTTCATTTCAGTGTGAAACTAGTTAGAGGTCTTTCCCTTTCTATAGTCACAGTAACAAATTGAGCAGAGGTCTGTTTATCTCCCATGATTGCAACATTCCAGCCTTTCTTTTGTTGTTGTTGTTGTTGTAATCCCATTTGTTTTTGGTTTTGTTCTCTTTGTCTGCAGAGTGAAGTCATTGAAAATCCTTCCTTTTTCTATTTCCTCATTCCATCCTTTCTGATCTTCTTTCCCCCCCTACATAATTACCTGTGTTCACTGATACAGAACACGGGCTTCATCAGATATAGTCCTCATCAGATACATTTCTATCCTGGGTATAGTTTCCGGGGACAATAACTTGGCAGCACGGCATTGAAACTGGTCACCTTTAATAATCTCCTTGATTTAAGAAAATATAGGAAAAAATGTCAATATCCAGGAAGCAATAAGGTGTGCAAAGAAAGACAGAAGAAAGAAGAGGTTCTCGTGCCCTCCATGATCTTGCTCCCGAGCTGCTTGTATAACTTGTATAATACAGGATCTGGTGATATTGAAAAGATAAATGAATTTCTTAGGCATTTCTTAGAAATGGAGTATGGTACCTTTAATAACACACAGGGAGAGAGAATGAAAACGCCAGGAGAAATCCATGCTGAAGAACATTCCTTTAAGAAGGAAGTGAGTTTTGGAGGTCCAGGGAGATGGTACAGGGGTTAAGGTGCTGGACTTGCATGCAACCCACCCTGGTTCAAATTCCAGCACCAAATATGTTCCCCTAAGCCCTACCAGGAGTGACTCTGAGCATAGAATCAGGAGTAAGATCTGAGCATCACCCGGTGTGACCCAAAAATCAAAAAGAAAAAAATTTAAAAAACCTGAGCCCTTCTTTTCATTTAATCCAAATTCCTCAGAATTATGACCATGGTTTATTATTTCAAAACCAGATGTTTTGAGGTAGATGTAACCCATAAAAATTCAGCTCAATATACCACACAGGTGACACTTTGGGAGGACCAGTGAAATCAGAGTTGTTCTGAGTGGGGACTTGTTCCGTTGTTAAGCAGCCGCCTTCTGTGTGTCTGGGATGAGCCGTGAGCTCTTGTAGAATTCTCTTTCTAGTGATGAGATAGGTCTGCAAAAGGGAGACAGATAGTGAGCCCAGGATGACCAAATCCTATAAAAATGTGGGGATAAAAATGATATGAAAGCCAAGAAAGCAGTTGAGGGAATTAGAAGTAAGGGAGTGCGGCTCTTTGGGGGGTGCTAGGGTTCCAGAAGCATTTCCTGATGCACAGATTGTTTAAACTTGATTTGGGGTAGGAATGGAGAGGGTGGGGGATGAGCTACACATCTGGGGAAAAGCTCTTCAGATCTGGAGAGGAAAAAGCCTCTGCAATGGCCCTGGGGATGGTATGGACTCCTGTGCTCTAGGGTTAGCAAAGAGCACTCCGTGACTGATACAGAAGAGAAGGGAGCAGCGTGGCAAGAGATGATGCCAGAAGGATAACCAGCTGCCGTGGTTTAGTGTTAAAAGGAAGGGATTTATTGGGTTTCTGCCAAGAAGGGATATGACCTGACTTCAACTCCTAAAAGATCATTGTGTGGAAGAGAACAAGACTGGAAAAAGACACCAGAGAGAAGACTTCCGAGAGACACCAAAAGAAGTGAGTTGGATTCCAGTTGCAAACCAGCCATGGAAGTTACAATCATAGTGAACCAGACAGTCCCTGATAATTCAGTGTAGAGATATCAGAGAAAAAAAGAATCAAAAGAAATTCTGCATTTTGACCTGAACAGATGATTAGTTGAAGATTCCATGGAAAGGAACAGCCGTGGTTTGGGGAAGTTCAGGTGTTTGGCTTTGGATAAAGAAAATTGCAGGAGCCTATTAGATGTCTGAATGGAAAAGGAGGCAAATAGATTCAGAGGGCAGTGGGGCTGGAGCGATAGCACAGCGGGTAGGGCATTTGCCTTGCACGCAGCCAACATGGCCAACCCAGGTTCGATTCCCAGCATCCCATATGGTCCCCCGAGCACTGCCAGGAGTAATTCCTGAGTACATGAGCCAGGAGTAACCCCTGAGCATCGCCGGGTGTGACCCAAAAAGCAAAAAAAAAAAAAAAAAGATTCAGAGGGCAGTGGATCCTAGAGTTTAGGAGAGTGGTATGGCTCAGAGAAGACTTGAGTATCAG